TGCAACTCTTTTATCAGTGGTTGTAGAAAAACATCGAGAGATATTTTTGGATGTTTTGGACCAGGTATTAATATGCTCATGAATAGAAACTCTCTTCGCATGCACATCTCCGGTGGCAAGTTATACGGTGTAAAGACCGGCCACAATGAATATTGTCTCCCAGACATTCCAAATGGACTAAATCCATCAGTGCATAATCCAAGATACACATTCCGGCTATTGCTAGCGAAATGTGGATGTACATTGTTAAAATGTTTCCAGGCTCTTGCATCTGATGGATGAGTCATCTCTCCATCTGCCTGAGTATGTTCGGCGTGCCATCTCATCCCTCCAGCAGTCTCCTCAGATTGGTACAATCATTTCAATCTGTCTGTGATTGGTAGGTACCACATCCTTTGGTACGGTACCCTATTACGCCCTCGACCTTGCGGTTTGAATCGTGGCTTCTTACAAAATCGACATTCTTCTAACTTCTCATCATCTCCCCAGTAAATCATGCAGTTGTCGATTCAAACGTCTATCATCTCCGAGGGCAACCCTAGACTATATACCAATTTCTGAATCTGATAATAAGATTCAGCAGACACATTGTCTTCTGGCAAATACTCTTTAAACAAGTCTGCCCATGCATCTATACATTTTTTAGGTAGATTGTGATCGGTTTTAATACTCATCATTCTAGCAGCCAACGATAATTTAGACAGACCTTCTCTACAACCACTGTAAATTGGCTCATTCGCAGCATCTAATATTTCATAAAACTTTTTGGCATCTAAGTTAGGTTCTTCAACTTCATCATCATCATGAGTTACAAAGGCATCACCTACCATATCATGAACCCTATCACAATCTACCATTTGTTCCTCTTGGTGATGATAGCTATTACTACTGCTACCTTCATTACGCAAATGCTCAACCGGTTCAATCTGTAAATTGCTATTACTACTGCTACCTTCATTCCTACAACTAGCATCTTCTCCATGTTGATACCAAATATAATAATATGGCATGAAACCTCTATTTACTAAATGCTTCCAAACATTTTCACGAGGGCCTAATTTGGTATTGCAACATTTCCGACAAGGACAGAACATCTTACCACTTTCCTGCGTGAGTGGTGTAGAATCTGNCCTAATTTGGTATTGCAACATTTCCGACAAGGACAGAACATCTTACCACTTTCCTGCGTGAGTGGTGTAGAATCTGCTTGATGCATAAACGTCTCCAACCCTTCGAGAAATTCTTTCGTCACCCTCCCGTTATTATCTCTGTGTGAATACATCCACTTCCGCAACTCGAAAATACTTCCCGAACCGGACATTTTTTTTTTGTTTGATCAAGCTTATAGCTGATTTTTTTTTTGTGTGTTTCAAATGAATCACATATGGTGGTATATATAGAAATTTTCGAATCTGAGCATTTACTAGGAAATTGCTAGGAAAAGTAGGTATAAAACACGTTTTTGATTAATATTCGATATTTTCTATCCATTTCCTCTTAATTTCGTAGTAAAAAATCTTTTCCTCCTAATTTCGTAGTAAACAATTACTAGGACTTTACGAGGAAAAGTTATACTATGAGTTTACGAGGAAAATAACTTTTTCCTCATAAGGGCCTCGTAAATTTACTTCGAGTTTACGAGGAAACTCTTTTCTCGTAAGTTTACGAGAACTTTACGAGGAAAAGTGGTTTCCTCGTAAACTCGAAGTAAACTCGTAGTATTTTTACGAGGAAATATTTTCCTAGTAAACTTTCCTAGTAATGCCTTAGTTTTCTTGTAGTGAATGTAGATTTCTAATAATAAAACATTTGTCTTACATTGTTTTTTAAAAAGATTTTTAGAATAAATACTATTAATAAAAATTTAAAACTAAATGAGTAATTATTTGTTCTATATTTATGTAGTTTGATAGTTAATATACTTACAAATAAATTTAATAACATTTTTTAATATTATAGATACCTTATCTTAATCTTCGAACAGATTTCAATAACTTACAAATAACACAAATTCGTGATCAAATGTTATGTACAAAAATATTTATCCTTATCCAAGTCAAATATTTATTATTATATTGACAAATGGATCAATAAGTCTCACTCGGATATGAGATCCAATGAAAACATTGTACCAAACTGAAATAATAATAATAGATTAACTCTTAAATATTATAGATATATAATAATAGTTATAAATTCATTTAATATTTGGCTTTAGGGTCAACAAAAAAATATCTGCGCTTTTTAAAACTTTCTTTATACCCATATAATTGTCTCGATTTTGATCATGTAACATTTTATATCATCAAAATAAAAGATGTTTTTTTATCCATTTGTAGATAAAACAACAAAAAATATTAACCGCGCTTTTTAAGCGCATGTCAAAAATATGGTATTTCCTTAAATTACTAAAGCAACGAAGGGCCATCTTAGTTTTAGACTTAAGCCCAATAACAACTATAAGATAAGTTCCCGTGTTATTTTTAAATGCACGTGACCATCATCGCGAAGCATAATTTTGTCGAATTACACACAACGACGCAACTCCACCAGATTCAGACGAAAGCTAAACACATGCCATGTGTCTCCTCTACAACTCATGGAGAAAAAATAGATGACTACACACTTTACAAAGATTCCCGCGAATGGCGGCTTCGTCCCCTTCGTCTCCTCCTCTCTCAAACCCACTTCGCAGATTCACCCTCCTCCTTCACCGTCACCTCTCCAAGAAACCCGTTTCGTCTTTGTTCCTTTGCTCTGCCGCGAAAATGAACGGACATGTATAATGTGTCCATGGTCTCGAAGAAGAAGAGATGGCATCAGTCACCGGGAAAATTATGAGAGATACTCATTGCCTTCTTCTTCCCCTTCCGTGGAGAGAAACGGCAAAGGAGTGGCGATTATCTGGTTTAGGAATGATCTTAGAGTGCTTGACACATTGTACAGAGCTTGGTCGTCCTCTGTTGGATTAAGCTTGAAGAAAAACGGAAACTTGAGAAATAAGTTAACAATAATTCTATTGAGTTATAGAATAGGAAAATATCTATTTGTGATTCCTAATGAGTTTAGGAAATATAGAGATATATATAAGGAGATGCATATGATGTTGCATAACTTATGAGATGTGAGATGAGTCTTTGTGATTGTGTGAGAGCTTAAGNTAGGAAATATAGAGATATATATAAGGAGATGCATATGATGTTGCATAACTTATGAGATGTGAGATGAGTCTTTGTGATTGTGTGAGAGCTTAAGGTTTTTGAGAGAGTTTTCCTTAAGAGAGTTTGTGAGTTGAGTTCTTGAGTTTTGAGTGATTTTCTCAAGAGATTAATAAGAGAGTTATTCTTATTATTGAGTTTTTTTATATAAATCGAGATTCTATATTTGGTATCAGAGCTGTAGGTTCTTAAGATCATTGTTCAGATCGGGACACTGTTCACAAGCGAATACTTTTCATCACAAGGATCTTAAACCTAACATCAAACCCAAGCAATGGGAGACGAACTTGTAAACACGAAGACAAAGGAAGGAGAGCAATATTTTATCAAGTATCTGATGTTAAACCCACCGAACTACACCATATGGGTCATTAGAATGAAGAACTTGCTTAAAGTTCATAAGGCGTGGAGTAGTATAGAAACATCAACAAAAGAAGAGCATCCAAACTTCAACTTCAAACCTCTCATGGAGTACACAAGAACAACGATCGATGTTGAGAAGGTGTTAGTTTGTGAAGAAGCAGAGAAGGTCTTGGAGAAGGCCCCAGAGAATCTTAGAAACGAGTCGTACTTTAAAAGAGGTGGGTACTGACCCTATCCAGGCCAAAGAGAAACTCGTGGTTGTAGAGACAAAGCTCGAACCTGCGAGGTTGGATTCCAAGGAGTGGAAGGAGAAGCACGAGGAGGTGAAGAAAGAAGTTGAGCCGCTCAAGAACACGAGCGAGAGCATAAGGAGCGAAACGGAGGAGTCTTTTTTTGGCTTGGAATGGGAAAGAGTCTGTGAGTATTATAAAGAGAGGAGACTATGAGAAGAGCTCGTTTCTTGATGAGAACAGTAGATTACTTGTGGCTCTTGTCGCAGCTGAGAATTTAAGAAAGAAGGCTAAGGACGAGAACATGACGGTTAAAGACATATTTAAACCAGTGATAAACGAAGCTAATATGGCTAAGAAAGTGGTTACTAGGGCTGAGAACTCAAATTTGAACCTTGCCTTACTGGACAAGAAAGAAGAGTTGCAGTTTACTTTGAAGGAGGTTGAGAGAATGGAGATTAATGAATCTGTTGCCAATGACAATGTTAAAAAGTTGAGGAATCTGTTATCTGAGGTTGAGGTAGCTATGGAGGAAGAGAAACACCAAAGCTTGAGCAGTCAAGAGTCCATGCAGAAGGAATTAAAGGTTAAGGTATTAAGGATTCTAAGCAAAGAGGTCGAGACTCCCTCAGTTGGTGAGGTGGAAGTGACGGAAGGTCAGAATACTCTCTTGGAGAAGTCTTGTGCTTCACTGGTTGGTATACGTTCGGTTATAACTTACAGAGCAATGAGTCTTTATATTGCTGCTGTCTACTGTCACAGATGTCCATTGGTGGATTTTTTCTATTTGATGAATCAGAAAGTACGAGGTTTCAGTATGGTAATTGTTCTTTCTCCAAGACATGTGTTACTAATGGGTTATTTGTGGATCTTAGACATCATGGACAAGGCTTCATGTTCATTTATGTGTTTGCCATGGGTTCACAAACTTCTTTCTTCTTTATCCACAAGAATGCCCTTTGTATTGTGTCTGACCGTGACAATACAAGTTACATGCTACTGTGATCTTTCGGTGGACACAAGGGATCACAATTTCATCGCCATAGTGAATATTCTAGTGGGCCGTTTAGTATGTTCCGAAGAACTTTCTATGTACAGTGGGGAACTGCAGCTGGTGCAAGACAAGAAAAGCGTTCGTATGGTCTTTCTTATTCAAAGTATAATGACTCATGGAGCGAGTGCTGAACAAATGGATGGTATGTTGGTCAGTGTTCATTCTCCCACGTTTGGAGTGGCACAATATGGGAATAACAAGGTTACAAAGAGGGACATCACTTTGTTTAGCTCGATAGATTCCAGAGATGGATTAGGTAATAAAGATGCGATCAGTGTTGCTGGTGGTCTCAAGGTTTTGCTGAATGAGTCTGAAGTTGTGGGAAGGTTATATATTGAAGAGGTGAGGAGTGTGCATACGGATGATGAAGAACGTTGTACGCTTAAGAGAAAGAGAAGAATGTGGTATTTGCAAAAGAAAGAAACAGTGGTGTTGTGTTCTTGTGAAGCTGACAAGGTGGCAGGGACTGAAGCTGTGAGAAAGGTTTTGTATCACCTCATAAGTGAGTATGTTGAGTATGATTTGATCGATGAACAACACATATCTGAGAATGAACAGATAGTCAATATCTCGTCAACAGAGCTTGGGAAGCACTTGACGTTCAAGGAGATGCGGCGACTGATTGTAGTACATGAAGTGTGTAAAGATGAGTTCAAGCTTAAGGGGGAGAATGTTGGATTAAGCTTGAAGAAAAACGGAAACTTGAGAAATAAGTTAACAATAATTCTATTGAGTTATAGAATAGGAAAATATCTATTTGTGATTCCTAATGAGTTTAGGAAATATAGAGATATATATAAGGAGATGCATATGATGTTGCATAACTTATGAGATGTGAGATGAGTCTTTGTGATTGTGTGAGAGCTTAAGNTAGGAAATATAGAGATATATATAAGGAGATGCATATGATGTTGCATAACTTATGAGATGTGAGATGAGTCTTTGTGATTGTGTGAGAGCTTAAGGTTTTTGAGAGAGTTTTCCTTAAGAGAGTTTGTGAGTTGAGTTCTTGAGTTTTGAGTGATTTTCTCAAGAGATTAATAAGAGAGTTATTCTTATTATTGAGTTTTATTTATATAAATCGAGATTCTATATCCTCTTATACCCTTTTGCATGTTTACTATCTTGATTGATCCTCGTCTCTTTCTCACTACTCATTACTTAGCCTTACCTAAAACATGAGGTAGTGTTCCAAAACATCGTTTTGTCTGATCATCTAGTTTTTGTATTTACATTGTAATGTTTTAGCATTGAGAGGTGCTTTTCTTATGGAATGTTTAGCTGATTTGAGAAAGAGTCTGATGAAAAGAGAACTTAATCTTCTCATACGGAGTGGTAAACCAGAAGACATTCTTCCTTCCCTTGCCAAAGACTTTGGAGCTCATACCGTTAAGTTTTTTTTTGCTTGAGACATTCAGACCTCTGTGTGAGGGACATGATGTTCCTTAAAAATGTGAACTTTTTGCCTAATGTTTTAGGCATTTTATCATAAAGAAACGTGCAGCGAGGAGCTACATGTTGAAAGAATTGCGAATTAGGCTTTGAAAAGAGTTGGAAATGGCACTAAGCTTGAGCTCATTTGGGGAAGCAAAATTTACCTAGGGATGTTGTCATGGGCTTCTGTCTAAAGGGCTAGCCCAGCCATGCAACAATTTATAATCCTAAGCCCATCTATTTTGACTTGGGCTAAGTTAGGGTCGTCTAATTTCAGACTACAGTACCATTAGGGTTATCTTTTTTTCTCTGTTTCAAGTTGAAATACCGACAAAAGAGATCAAAGGCGATTCACAGTCACCTTATATAATGCATCTGCGAATGACAACATGCAAAAAGTCCTCACACATCGTCTGTAGAGTGAGAATGGGCTGTTGTGTGATAGAAAATATAACCATGTAAGGTGTTGCGCTCATATACTGAACTTGATTGTCAAAAAAGAATTAGAATTAGGTCTAGTCTCCTTGTGAATATTTGAGAGAGTGTGAAATTCGTCAAAGCTTCTGATTCGCAGAAAGACTCTTTTGCGGTATGTGTGGAGAGCGCTGGTATAGTAAGCTCCGCTGGTTTATCCTTGGACGCTGACACAAGATAGAATTCCACGTACAATATGATGGTGAGGGCTCTGAAATTCCGCAAGGCTTTTGCTAATCTGCATCTCTATGATAGAAACTACAAGTTCTTGAAGCCTTTTAGTAAAAAACAAAGTGCTTCTCTGGAGTCAAATACCCAACAGCCAGTGTTTATTTCATGCTGGTGTGGAATATCGAGTTGTTGTTGAGGAAGTATTCTAGGTGTAATGATACTGAGATGAGATTAATGGCGATGGAAATGCAAAGTAAGTTTGCCATAGATCCAAAGATTAAGCTTCAGATGCTTAAGGCAGCTTATAATAGGCTGGATCCTAGAACTTCTAAGAAGAAGGCTGAAATTGTGAGGAAGAGCTTGGAATCGATTTATAAAGACTATAGCTCCAAGTCTTCAGAATCTTCTTCCAGATTTTCAAAAAAAACTCCACATGAGCTTCTTACAGAATCGCCTCTTGAAGATGAATGGGAGGATGTAAGTATCTAAAAACTTGGAGCTTTTTTATTTTGACCTCTTAATAATGATTTAATTGCTTTTTATCTCTCGTTTTGTTTGAATATAGGATCTGCTTGAGCTTGAAAGGTGTATCCAGTTTGGTACAAACAACGAAAGGACAAATCTATATATATATATATTTGGATGACACTAAAGTTGATATTTCAGTTTTCTTAGATATGGAAGTGTTAGACTATTGGAAAGATAAGGGACATAGATATGTTGACTTAGCGGTGCTTGCCTGGGATATTTTAAGCATTCCCATTACTATTGTTGCCTCTGAATCAACGTTTAGTGTGGGAGGCTGGGTTTTGAACCCTTTTGGAAACCGTCTGCTCCATGTAACTGTTCATGCATTAATTTTTACTCGAAATTGGGTATGTGGCTTTGTCGAATTTGAAGGTAAGTGTTAAGTGTTGTAGAATTAGTTTATATGTTTTGTTGGTTATCTCATTGATTACTTGATGTAGGAGACATTGAGGAGTACTTTGATTATGATGATGAGGATGCTAACAAAAAAAGCAAGTAGCTCAGGAGTTGAAGATTCAAGCATATGATATGTGGTAAATAACTAAATGCTTTGTTTTATAGTTTAGATTCAAGTATTAAGTCACCTGCCTTAGTTCTTGTGATGACTATAACTTTTCTGTGATATCACTCTAAAATGGCTACTATTAGTTTTCAAAGAGCATGTTGTTCACTTGGTGTTTGACTGTAATGTGTCTCTTCATATTGTAATTGTAGTATGAATATGAGTGTATGACTATAATGTGTCTCTACATGTTGTAGTTTTACTCATGATCATATGTTGTTGGTTTGTTGCAAAGTCATTTTACTTGTTGGAGAGCAAAGTTTGTTGGTGTTGGTGTTGGTGACTTGGAGAGTTTACAGATTTTATTCAACAAAAATAAGTGTTATGATTTTGAACTTTATGAAGTTCATGATTCATAATTTGGAAATGTAAACTTTGTTTTTTTCATTTTTATAACTTGAAGACAAAAATGGATAAAAGATACATTTTCCATTTATATGATTGTATCTTGAGTTTAAAAGAATATGTAAACTTTGATTAAGATTGATTTACAAAGAGTTATTGACTTGCAAAATTAAATAAATGCGCTAACCATGGTATCAGTCTTAACCCTTTTTTAAAATAGGGTTAAAACATGGCTGGGCTAAAATAGGGTTGGAATTATTATAAACTAAAGCGGGTTACGTCCTGACCTTGTTCATAACATCCCTAAATGTACCACAAAGATGATCTTCCTTTTGATGTTCTTTATTTGCCTGATATCTTTACTCAGTTTCGTAAGGTGTGATTTCTGTTTTGGTTGGTGTCTTTCTTGACAAAACTAGTGGTTGGTGTTTTATAATAGTGACTGTGGATGAAGAGGCATTTTTACATAAGTCTTGGGTAAAATGAGAATGAGATCAATGAGGTACGCATCATAAATGCATGGATGCTTGTTTTTGTTTGCAGTATGTGGAAGCCAAGTGTAGGATCAGAAGCTCCACTCGCATTCCAATCTCTCTAGGGCCAACACCTTATGTTGATGATTGGGGAGATGTTCCAACTCTTAGTCAACTTGGAATTGAGCCACAAGAGGTTAGTTTCTCTGAAAAGCTCATTAGGTGAGATAAAAAGCATTCTCTGTTAGGTAAGTCTTTATATGTATGTTGATACAGGTGAGCAGAGGAATGCGATTCTTGGGTGGTTAAAGTGCTGGAGTAGGCAGAGTTTATGAGTACTTTTGGAAGAAGGCAAGATCAAACTCTGAGCTCTTTCTTTGTCTACTATGGATCTGTTTGTGTGTGTACATAATGTTGTATGCCCTTTTTCATGCAGGATCTTTTTTAAGTATACACAGAGACAAGGACAGAATGTTGGGACCTGATTACTCGACTAAATTCTCTCCATGGATTGCCGTTGGGTGTATCTCTCCTCGCTTTATCCACGAAGAGGTCAGATCATTCAAACCTTTATCTAGTGTTCTCAAATATACATATCAGCTTTCATTTACGTTGTGGTTGGAAGTATTTTCAGGTTCAAAGATATGAAAGAGAAAGAGTAGCAAGCAACTCAACATACTAGTAATTTCTTCACTCTTAGTCCTTATTTTAAACGTCTCAATTGATTTGTTATATATGCTTGCAAGGTGTTGTTTGAGTTAATATGGAGGGATTACTTTAGGTTTATTTAAATAAAATGTGGCAACTCCTTATTCCATCTAGGTATATGATACTTACCAGACAAGTCTAAGTGCTTACAGTGAACTTTAATTAGAATGTTTTTTCATAGGTGGTCCAAGAAATGTGCAAGGTGAATGGAGTCGAGATAAAAAACTGTTTGAGTCTTGGAGAGATGGCAAGACCGGGTGTGTATTTGATCTCATGAATATTATTTTTAATCAAAACTATGTTAGAGACTTCTAAAGCTTAACGTTTATAGTGACTGTTCATGAGTGGTTGCATAGGTATCCCATCATACATGCAAACATGAAGGAGCTATCCACTACAGATTTCATGTCAAATAGAGGCCGACAGGTGAAGTTTATGATTAGTTTCCCTCTGTTCCTTTCCATGGATGGTTTTTCATTCATTTATTTGATGTACAGATTGTTTGTTTGTTTCTTGTGAGGGACATGGGCTTGGACTGGAGGATGGGTGCATAATGGTTTAAGCATGTCTATTGGACTATGATCCATGTTCTAATTACGGAAACTGGACCTATCGAGCAGGTACTACTCAGGCATGTCTCTAGGTATGTGTCCAAGGAACATTTGCACAGGACCCATAATATTTTTGTAAATATTAACTAGGATTTAGGGCCCTCTACAAAAAAATTAGGGCCTATTTTTTATAGATTACATGTATTATTTTTATAAATTGCACAATGATTGAGATGGGCCTGGTACTACTACTACTCATACCTCTTGAGGACATATTTCTTTTATAAGTTTCTTATTTGTATGATGGAAAAATTCGTTTTTACCTTTTGAAGGAGTTGGAAATGATCCTAGAGAAGACCGGTACTTCAGAGTTCCCAAGGATGCAAGTAATTTTCAACATCCTTATAAGCAAGGGATGACAAGAAGAGACTGAAACTGTGTGTGTTTGGTGGTGGTAATGCTCAAACGTCAAAGTCTGGTGGTGGTTTCATAGGGGATTACAGTGGGAGACGTTCAAGACACAATGCTCCTTATATAAACTATGCTTCCGAATCCTAACAAGAGTTTGTATCACATAAGTAACATATCATTACACCGATTAAAAAAACATTATGTGAATGAGAAATTGTAATTGCGCGCGTTAAATGAAACTGAAATAACGACTGTATCAGATCAGACAATAATGGGTCAGTCTGAAAGCCCATTAATAAATAGTTATATTTGGGCCTTTTAACGACATTTGGGCCCGTTTAAAGCATGAGAACCCTAATACGAGCTTAAACATCTTCTTTGTCTATCTGCGTCTCTCTCGGAGATTTGATTGCGAAGAACAACGAGCTCAAGATTTTGATTCCAGGTGCAGATTGATTTCAGGTAATCCTTTTACTTAGAATGTTTTTTCCTGTGTTATCGTATTGTATAATGTAAGTATGAATCCACGCTTCTGGTTTTACTCTTAGGCATGCCTCCTCTCGATCTTCTCAGTGAATAGAGATTTTAGAAGTTTAGCGTTTAGGGTTTTACTAGTTTTTGCAGTTTCGTTCTGGGTTTATTCAAAGTTTATTCCTTTCGCAGTGATTCAGCTTAGATCAGATCTTAGAAAATTAGGGTTTAGGGTTTTACTAGGCCTTGAAAACCCGGTCTGGGTTTATTCAAAGTTAACTCCTTCGCAATGATTAAACTTATATCAGATCTTTAGAACAAAACATAACACTGTATCTCTTGTCTTTGTCTGTGTCAAAAGTGATAATGGAGAGTGAAACGAAGCCAACCTTCAGCAAATCAACAGGTCTTCCACGGAAGCGATTCTACAGAGCAAGAGCTCATAGCAACCCACTTAGCGACTCTCACTTCCCCATTCCCATTTCACCATCTCATGTCGACTTCTCACTTCACTTCCCCAAGTTCATTGGATCCAACAACGAAGTCTCCAAGAAGGTTGAGTTTGCAGACATTGGATGCGGTTTTGGTGGTCTTCTCATCTCCCTCGCAACCCTCTTCCCTGATACTCTAATGATCGGTATGGAGTTGAGGGATAAAGTCACTGAATACGTTAAAGAACGTATCTTAGCCTTGAGGAAGACTAACTCGGGTGGACAGTATGAGAACATCTCTGTTGTTAGGACAAACTCGATGAAGTACATTCCGAATTACTTTGAGAAAGGACAGCTTTCTAAGATGTTTTTTCTGTTTCCGGATCCGCATTTCAAGGAGAAGAATCACAGGAGGAGAGTGATTAGTATTGATTTGCTTGATGAGTATGCTTACGTTCTTAGAGCTGGTGGGATTATTTACACGATTACTGATGTTGAGGAGCTTGGAGAGTGGATGAGGTCTTGCTTAGAGAAGCATCCTATGTTTGAGTCTTTGACACAAAATGAGCTTGATTCGGATCCTGTTGTTGAGCTTCTGTGCAGTGCTACTGAGGAAGGACAGAAAGTTGCCAGGAATGGAGGACAGACTTTCAGAGCCGTTTTCAGACGCATTGCATACGTTTCTTGAATTTGAGATCTTTCTTTTTTGTAGTGAACGTCTTATTGTTGTTGTAATACCAGATTCTTTCTTAACTTCAAATTTTTGGGATAGTATTTACTGAAATTTTGAAATTAATGATCTTTTAAGAAGAGAGAATGTGTCCTTATATTAGCATCTTCTTGTACATAAACCAATCTGTAGAATGAAGTTTTAAAATGTAATGCCATAAACCAAGATGATGCTTGAAACTTTGAAAGTGATTCACGTGTTCTTACAATTAAAGGCTTTTCAAGTTTCTTACAAGAATGTATATTGGGGAACAGCCCTGTGTGGCCCTAAAGCCAAAATCATCCATCAAACTATAATCTATGAGGGACTGAAAGAAAACATATCAATTGATTCCTAAGAATAGGAAAAAGAGGAATACCAGTTGAGGTTTCCTCGCATGTTAAAGATGTTGCATTCTGTAATCTCTGTGACTTCATCACCAACATGACACCGACATAACTCAAATGTTCCTTCATGAGTCGAGATGGATATCTTCAACAATCTAATGGTTTGACCATATTCGAAAGAGACTGAACATAGCTCAAGTGTCCACATCAGAATAACTACCGGAGAGGCAATGATGATAAACTTGCTCTGTTTCTTGTTTCAAGTAGCACCACACTAATGATGTTCTGTATGCATGTGATTTAGCCTGCTCGGACAAGCAACTCCTCCGCCACTCCTAGTCATTAACCATTTTTTGTAAGCTAAATACGCCTCGTCTAGTCGCCTCAACTTGGTGTATTTCCTCATAAGTATCCAAAACGGAACATGATCCAATATTATACCAGACGCTTGCAGTCTCAACAAAAGGTCTTCGGCCTCCTTCAACCGACCCTTCCAACAGAGCCCTCTAATCAGCTCGGTATAAGTAATCATATCAGGTCGACATCTCCTTTTCATCATTTCATCATACAACTGAAAAGCCAACCTCAAGTTACCAACTGTACAAGCAGCACCTATAAGCAGATTATACGTAGTAGTATCTGGGTAGACATTGGTCGATCGCATTTGATCTTTTATCTGGCATGCATCGATGAATCTTCCCTCTTTCACATACCCATGAATCAAAGCATTGTTTGTGTAAATATTTGGCTTAACGCCGTACGAAAGCATTAGATTTCGAACAGATAAAGCGCTGCTAGTATCTCCACATCTTCCATAACCATCAATCACCACATTCCATAGCAGAACCTCCGGAAGCAGAGAACTCTTTAGCATGGTTAAAAGAAACTCGTTCGCCCTGGCCACATCTCCGTTCATACATAGACCTTGAATGATAACTTTGTATGAGATCTGATCAGGAGCAACGCCAGCTCGTTGCATGGTACCATGGACACCACATGCCTCATCAAACTTTCCCTCTTTGCACAAGGCGCTTATGAGAGTATTGTAAGTGAAAACATCAGGACTAACTCCTTTCTTCACCATGTCACACATGACTCCATAAGCATCTACCATGTTACCACTCGAGCATAAACCACGAATAAGGACATTGTACACGACTGAATCAGCATAGACATTTTTCTCCGACATCTCCTTCCAAACCCCAAGGGCTTGAACCACATCCCCATTCTTAAAACAACTATCCATCAAAATAGTACAAGTGACTATATCCAAGGGCGCATCCGCCTGCTGGCTACTATTTAAAATCTCTTCAAGAAGCTTTGTGTTTCCCATAAGACCTTTCTGACAAAGTGCATGCACTAGTATATTGCAAGTCACTCTATTGGGCCTAACTCCATATCTATCCATAGTGCTGAAGAGATACAGAGCTTTATCTACATTGTTAACACTGCACAGACCCTTGATAAAAGTGTTATAAGAAACACAGTTGGGAGAAGGACCCATCTCCCACATCTCTCTAACAAGCCCATCCGCCTTGTCGATACCACCCAACTTACACAACCCATTTAAAAGATGATTGTGTGTGACCAAACCTGGAATAAACCCACTCTGCATCAACTTCTTCCGTAGCCAGAGAGCAGCGTCTAACTTCCCTTGTAAACAAAGATCCCTCATAATAGACGCGTGGATAGCTATAGATTCATCGTATCCAAGACTCTTCGTCCGACATACACTCTCCCTACAACAATCACAAGTTTTTTCAGACTTTAGTCCTCAAATAATAAATAGCCAGAGAGAGTGCAGTGGTTCAAAACTATAAAACCTTAAGGAAGCGAGACGATCCAAACTACTTTTCAAGATTGAGTCCAGAGCATTGAAGTTAGCTTCAGGGTCTCTCTTATAATCATAACCCTTTCTATTAGAAACCCAATTCTCATTGGAGAAACAAGAACGTTCCCCAGGAGTGAATTGAGGACGCTCAATACAAGAAAGACGCATTTCAAAGTCTCTGCAAATATCCCATTAAAACCAGAGAATCAGTAACAAACAGAATGTCATGGAAGGAAAAGTAATGAATTGAATCAAAAAAAAAAAAAATCAAGAAACCTTAAGTTGGTGATAACAGGAGCAAGGATCCTAGAGACATTGTCGAA